AAAAACCTGATTACTTTCTAGGTCAAGGAGTGCCACAATTCAGAATTCACATCAATGTTCTCTCAGGCTTAATGTAAACTGCTTTACCTACAAAAGTTGTTCTATTATACAGAGATAGAATGTTTCTAAAAAAAACACAGTTCATAGCTTTCCCTCTTAACATTCTACAGCTCCCTACCATAGCAATGAGCACTGATGACACTAATTATCTTCTCAGTTTACTCAATACTCACAACATGCCCACACACACTGGGCCCTGTGCCAGTCAGGGTTTGAAGGAAAAAAAAATATTTACAGGAAAAGATTCCTTTCTGAAGTGACTACATACAAAGTTATAGGGGACTTTAAAGGGACAAAGAATTGCAAGGCATCCAGGGATGGGCAGCAGAGAAAAGCCTAAGTCTCTACAATGGGCTAGGAGGACAACTATTAGAAATCAGAGAGGACAGCTAGAACTGGAAAGGACAGGCTGCCACACAGAAGCTGTACTTAGGGAGGGACATCACTTCTTCCAGACACAAGATACTGAATTGGTCAGAGATAGGAAGTAAACCCTAATCTCTCTCCTACTCTTGGATCTTCTGCCAGAGCTTTCCATTGGGAAAAGGAGCCCAGGGAGATGAACCCACTGGTGCCTGAATCCTGGGCAAAAGTTGGACAGAGAAAGAAGGACAATAAGAAGGGGCCAGGAAAGGAATAACAGATGACCAGAAGGTGTTAATGTCACTAAATTCCTGGGTTAGAAGGCACATAAAACATAGGAGAGCAGCATTTGCATTTAGCATATGAGAAGCCTAAAGAGTTACAACATGGGGCTGGGCAGATAGCTCAGTGGTCTAAGTGCCTGCCTGGCAAGCACAAGGACCCACGTTCGACCTCCAGTGCTGCATGCCATGCTGGCCCCATCCAATGCCAGTCACCAAAACCAGGCAAGGTGGTGCATGCCTGTATTGCTAGCACTAGGAAGGCTAAAAGAGGAGGATCATTATGAGTCAGAGCTGCATAGCAAGACCCTGTACCAAATAAATAGATTTTTTAAAAAAGATTTACAGCAAAATGATTTTAAAATTAAAGTTCTAATTTTCAGATTCCTGTAGACCCCAATTAAATTCTATAATATATTATTTCTTATTGGTTTCTGCAACATCTGTGAGCTAAACTTAAAATCTTTTGTAGATATTAGACAATCAATAATCA